CGCGCCATCACGGTCCCAGGCCGCTCGAACCGGACGGTCCCCAGGCCCAGCCGACGGATAACCATCAGAAGCCATGGCGGAAGAGGGCGGCACTAAAGGGGGGGGCGGGGCTGGCTGAAACAGAAAACGGCTGCGGAAAAAACAGTGCAAGCAAGTGTGACCACATGCTCATGGAACTGGCACGAGCTGGCACATGCAAATGCAGCATCTTTACAGCGGGGCGGGGCATCAAGTCTGGCAGGCGCGGCGGAGGCAGAGCTGGGCACCCGCAGGCGGGGCGGAACACCATGCCTCAGAGCAGAGCTGACCAACAGAGGCCCCACAGGCCGGTTTCACCCAGAATGGTTCCAGGCCCAACAGAGACACGCGTACGGACTTTGCAGTGTCGGGCGGGCACGGAACGGGACGGTGCAAGACGTTGCTGCGAGGGTTGTGCAGGAACCCATTCATGCTGGGCTCTCGCTGTTTGGAGCGAGGGGGCCGAGGCTTGGCAAAGTCATCGTCCGAACCCGAGGCCCCGGATTGTTCGGAGTCGGAGCTGTCATCGGAGAGGTCAGTGCTTCCTCTTCAGCCGGTTCCGGACGGCGCCGGGGGGAGCGCGAGCGGCCAGAGCGTTCCCGCGGCGCCATGCCACCCATGTTGCTATCAGGTGGCGGCAAGGACACCCGAAAGTCAGGCAATGGTTTGCTAGAGCCGCGGCCCACTGGCTGGAGGGGGCGGTAACCGGACCGGATTCGGTTAATGACCTCAGCCTGCAATGATAACATTGGGCCTATATCGTCTCGGCTATACCCGAACGGAGCCCTCCATGGAGGACGGACGGTGATGGCCTTGGAGACGGCGAAGCTCAGGGTCAAGATTAAGCTGCCTGGCCCAGGATAGGACGGTGGCCTTGCAGCTGTGAACCCCATACATGGAGTGCTCAGGCGGGCAGGCTTCGGAGGAGTGCAGGTGCCAGTGTTCTTGCAGGAGGGCCCGGAGCCAAGGCATGGCGCGGGACCGATGCAAAGGAGAGACGAACACCGGAGAGGCAGGGTCAGGCCCGAGGACCGGAAGCAAAAAATCCACCGTGCGGTCCGGGAAAATGCGTTTGGTGTCGGACACGCACTGCTGAAGAGCGTTAAGCCAGGACATGCCCCAACAAGCGGAAGGCGAGCCCGTCAACCCGTAGAGCTGGCATCCCCACGGCATGTTGGCCCGGCAGCTTTTTGTGCGGGTGGCGACACCGGTAAGGGCAGTGGAGCCAGATTGCAGTATCACCCGGGACGGGGGAGACCAAAGGCCGTCGTTCCAACGAAGAGACGACCAAATCAGGCACAAGACCGACCCACGAAGCAGGACCTCGGCAAGCAGAGTAGTGGGATCCATGACGGACCGTTCGAGCCAGACGACAAAGGACACGGAAAGAGGCAAGGCTTCACGTTTTTCCACCGGGCCGGTCGAGGAGAGAAACGCGGAGCAAAGCGGAGTGTGCAACTGTACCTGGATAGATGGCAAGCCCGCCACCTTGGCCATCCAACTCAAGGCCTTAAAACTGGTGGTGGAAAGGCCAGAAGGGGCGGAAGTCAACTGAAGCCAGGACGGGAATGCACCGGGCGGCGGGTCGGCAGGATCAATCCCAGAAAGGATGCAGTGCCGGACCCAGGCAGACCAGGAACGCAAGTAAAGCTGCAAAGTGCTGGGGGCATTTTTCGCGATGGCACGTGCTTGGAGTTCCCGAGGCACGGGTACCAACTTGGTATGCAAAAACAAGGTGCAGCGGTCACCAAGCTCCTGAACAAAGTCGCAAAACATGTTGCGAAAATGTGCCAAGGCGCGAGCAGTTGTGGATTCCATGGAGGAGGAATCGGAGGCGTCAGTGGCCAGTGGCAAAAAGCCAGAATGCACAAAGGGAGCCGGGGGAATCACAGGGGGCCGCGTTTCCGAAGAAGAGGCAGAAAGACCCCGGGGGTACGCCAATGGGTCGCGGGGCAGGCGGGGTACCCGTGGGCAGGATAAAAGTGGTGGGCCCAACGGAAACGTAGGAGCCGAACGTGCAGGGCGCAGAGCCGGGCAGCGAAGAGGCCGGAACAAGGGGAAGGGGGCAGGCCGAGGCCGAGCGGGCCGGGGGCGAGCAGCCAGGTCCGACAAAGAAGCACGGGACAGGCAGGGCAAGGCCAGCCCAAGGCGAGGCACAAGCAATGATGCAAGTCCAGGCAAGGGGGGACCGACCGGGTGAGCAGTAGGGACCGGCACGACCTGAAAGGATGTAGAGGATGCCGACGAGGGGCTGGAATGAGGCGGTGCCGAGGGCCCAGGGGCCGAGGCCGGAGAATCGCAATGACGCGGGGAGGCGTCGCCCAAAAAATCCAACCGCTGCGGGCGGGGCGGTGTGACCAGTGGAGCGGCAGCGGTGGGCTGCAAGGGAAAGCCATGAAGCAAGGAACCAAGGTCAGATGCCAAGGCCGGGTTGCCCGCAGGGGCCACCGGCGGATGCACGGGTACCTGGCCGGGCAGGGCATACAACAAAAAGCGCAACCACGCGCAAGAAAGAGACCGGCGCATCCTCGATGGTCTCCAGCTCGATGTTGGCCTGGCGGCAGGAAATAACAAAAGCAACATGTCTCTGAAAGAGCCAGGCAGGTGCAGCAAGGCGGGGAACCACGACTTTTTAGGCATCGCCGCAGCGGGACCGGATCAGGCCGGCCGCGAGAAGCAGAAAAGTGGACAGCGCCGGGCCTAGCGGGCCACCCCAACACGATGATCTTAGGAGACTAGTTGGATTATGGGCAATAAAGGCACGGGGCATGCGGGGCGGTCCGGACCAGGTGCCTAGTACCCGTCTTGGATACAATACGGGCATTTGTGCCCGGTGTGATCGGTCCGGGAATGCAACATCACGGGCCGGAGGCAAATGCGGAGACAGTGCGGGCCCCGGGCCGGACAATCGTGCGAGCAGTATCCGCGAATTTGCAGGTGAGACAGGACAGACGGAGGGTCCTGAAGCGGAGCCCAGCTTGGCAAGTCCTGCTCCTCAAAGCAAAAGAGGTCGGGCCAGGGCCAGGAGTCCGTGCGGATGAACGGGCCGGGCGTCTCAGGCAGGAAAATGCTCAAGCGCTCCCAGCCTTCGCTGATGGTCCAGGGGCCGGTATTGGCCCGGCGCGGGGTGAGTTGGCCCCGATCCACAAAGACCGGAGTGCAGCCGGGGCGGTTGGGATCCGAGTGGACCAGGGGCTCGTTCGGGTCAATGCCCGACGTGTCCGTCAAGAGTGCCTGGCGGGGGCGGGCGAATCCGGGCAGGACACGCAGGCCACCGGACAGCACCAGCTCCGTCGGTGGGGTTCGGCGGGGCCGGGTTGGGATCGGGCCTGGTGCCATCGTTCTGGTCCAGACCGGCATGGATGGCGTCGGCTGCCTGTTGGTCCGGAAAGCGCGGACCGGCCGGCAACGGTGCAAGGTCACCACGCGTCGTCTGCGGATAGCGTCCTCGGTTCGGAGGCGGGCCGGTCTGGGACATGTGCGCGACCGGAACCTCAACGTCGAGCTGGCCCAGGTTGCCCATGGCATAGGTGACGTCCTGGGCGACTTCGGCGATCAAAAGGAAAAGTCGAGTCACCTGGGACGGTGGCAAGTCGGCAAGGGACCGGTAAATGGCATCATCGTCCAGAGTGCATAAAAATGACAGGTCCGTCTCGAGGGGCGGCGGGGCGGCCTTGGCAGCTGCCGCGGGGGCTTTGGGAGCCGCTTCGGATGGAGCGGCAGCCGGCTTGGCGGGGGGGAAAGACGGGGTGGCAGGCCGGGCCGGAGGAAAGCTGGCTTTCTTCTTTGGGGGTCCGGCGGAAGCAGCGGGCAGACCACCAGTCGTAGGGGGGTGGCTGGGAGGCTGCTTCTGGGGCGCGAGGAAGTCGGCACCACGTTTGGCCGGAGGCTGGGACGGGGTGGCAGGTGGATCCACGGGGGGGGCCGGGTCCGGAGCCACGGTCGTGTCCTGGGCCGGAGCCTCCGTCGGGACAGCCTGAGCGTCCGGAGCCGGAGGGGCCTCGACATCGGCCGGAGTCGGGTCGACGTCGGACCGGATGCCCACGGCAGCTCCCACCGCACCACGGGCCAGATCGCGGAGAGCGTGTCCACCAAAGCGGGCCATGATCACCGAGAGCGAAAGGCAGAAAAGGCAAAGAGCGATGAAAGCTGAAAGCGGCTGCGGAGGGAGACAAGGGTCGCTCGAGCAGAACAAGGCTAGTCAAGCAGCCAGGGCGAGAGCATGACCGGACAAAGCTTGCAAGCAGGCCTTCGGGGGCGAGACCGGCGGACCAGGAGCCGGGTCAGGCCTGGGAAGAGCCAACGTGAAGCAAAAGACAAGAGTGCTTACAGCTGGGGACCATGCATGATGGAACGGAGCTGAGCACCAAAGGACCTCAGCCAGCTATGGGCCAAGGCGGAAAGTGTATAAAGGCAGGGTCGGCCTCCTGGCGGAGAGGCGGGACCGGGGCCGCCTGACAGAAAGGGTCAAGAGGCTGAAATGTTAAGCCGAAGGCCAACCTCGAAGACGAGGATGATGTACTCGAGGACCGCCGGGCCCTTCGCCGCCGACGGCGGGGAGGACAGGAGCGGGACGAGTCCGAAGATGAAGGCATCAAGCCGTGACAGTCTAAAGAAAAGGCTAGCACACCGTCAGTATGCGGAACGGATGCGCCTAAGTCGAACGGCTGCGGTATAGTTACGACTTGCCGTTGCGAGCCCTCCGATTAACACAATACGACCCGTCGAGAAACCGTCACAGGGTCTTATTCTTGCCAGCCAAGTTGTCCTGCAACCGAGGTTATCAGAGTATGTGTTATATTATTATATACAGCAGCAGACATGTAAGCAACAAGACAAGGCACAAGCCAACTATCAAACACCACAAAATGTTACCAGACGATGACACCATTCTGTTCGCAGGGCATCCACTAGTGACACGTGGGCAGACATTCATGTGGCAAAGATCCATCTACGAATTCTCGTCTCTCTTAGCAGCAGGCATCTGCTTCTTTGGGCCTGGCCTCAGACTGAGGCTGTCCCCAGAAAACTCCCACGAAGTGACACGAATGACTTGAATGATTCGCAGAGGCCGATACGGCAAGCTTTCACCACCGGAACCAGACACCTGGACAAGCTACGAATCGCACGCAAACACTTATCGCAAGAAGTGACATGATATTCTCAAGAACGCATGAACTGCACCTTCTCTAGTAGCCTCGATGCCAAGGCCTCGAATGTGTTCCAATGGCTCATGTCCTTCAGGTTGTGCCGAAGCAACCAGCCCAAAAGTGCAAACAGGCTGCACAGCTTCAAGACGTCCTCGGTGTGCCCCAACTGCTTCAACACGTTTTGTTTGGTCACATCACGGACCTTGAAATAGTGTCGAATTGGGGATGGGCAATGAGGGAGCCTTGCTGCTTTCGACTATCCGACTTACGAATACTGCCAGCAAGTTTTATCCATAGCACACAGAGGCTCTGCCAGGCGCCTTAAAGCGGATGGAGTCGGGCACGGAAGGCATAGAAGAGTTTCGCTGAGCCTTACCGCGCTCCAGAAGGTACTTGTAACCATTCAACATGGTGCTGGGGCTCTTGGCTCGGGAAACGCTTAGGCATCAGCATAGTCAGAGAAGCCAAGCAACGGCGGCTCCAAAGGATCACCCTGACAAAGCTGCCCCAAAAAGAGACTGGAGATACGGAAAAGCACGGCCGGCTGGCTCAGGGTGCCCCTGCTGCGAACAGCCCACATACAGTTCGGTGGTTGTGCCGTTGTTTTCGAGTCGTGATTGCTCATGTTTTGGCGCCGCAATCTACAGAATATGCAGACATGCTCTAGGTTCTCATGTTTCTTGTCCGTAAGCTCATGACGAGACAGACGCCAAGTGTGCCGTACTCAACCGCAACTTCTTTCTCGTTTCGCTGGACATCCCAAGGCGTCGGTCTCTCGGGACTCCATCTCGGCTCCCTCGGACTTGGAATTAGCATCTGCGAATGTAGCCCAGGGCATACGCCAGAACAAGGGCCAGCCTCCGCGGTTCGTTTAGCTTCGTGATAGTCCTGCTTGACCTGGAGAAGCCAGCGAGAGGCAGACCGATCCAAAGCTTTCTCAGATTCGTGTTTTGGCGCCTGCCATCGAGTGGCGCTGCCTCTTGCAACAGCTCCAATTTTGGCAGCGGCCGCCTGCTCTTCAGCTCATTTCAGCTCTTAAGCTCGTCGGACCAGTCGGAGACTCGGATTCAAATCAATGCACCCGAAGACCTCCTGTTCCTGCGTGTACTCCCTTTGCTCTGCACCTGTCCGGATCAGAGCCGACATGCGAAGCGCCTCTCAGACTTCCATCGCCTCTCAGGCTTCGGATGGGCGGTGCGGCCTGCACCTGGGCATGCGGTGCATGCGAGCAAATCCGCGCCAGGCAGCGGGATTCCCGGATGTTCCTGGGCCACCAAACTGTTGCGGCCTTCGGAGCGGAGCGAAAGGCCAGAAAGGAACAAGGGCAAAGAGGCAAAAGGAGACGTGGCCTCGGAGGGCAGATCAGCTTCGGGACCTGGACTTCACACTGTCAGGCAACACTCGGACAATTCAAAAACTCAAGGCAAGGGGCCTCCAGGCACTGACTTTGCTTTCGCAGCTTTAGCCCCCATGCTGTTGGACCTTGTAGGCTCAGAGCGCAGCAAGTCACGCCACCAAGTCCCCCCAATCTGCCATCAAATGAGTAGCAGGATCAAGCTTGCAAAGTGCAAGTTGTTGATCCAGCTTGCGCTAGCCGCACTAGCCGACATTTTCAAAGCAGTGGAAGGCAAGCCCGCCTTCGCCTCGTGGCATCAGGGCTACCAGAGCGGAGCTTGGACACTTCTAGGCAGGGAGATGTCCGGGCATATGCTGTTGGGAGATGCTGGCTCTAGAGCTTCCACTTTCTCACAACCTGCCATGACTAGACGTGGGGCCTGGCGTGCCTGTGGGGCCTGTGCTTGTACCAGACTCTGATTGAAAGTCAGCAAACGGTGGTTCGGCTGCTGCACATGTCAGCAGATGCTCAACAGCGGGTAGCATGCTGAAGCCAAGCTTAAAGCTTAAAACCTAGTTGTGAATCTGTGGGTTATTCCATGACCCATGATACTCCATGTTCAAGCAAACTTAAGCAACGTTCTGCAGTCAAATATTCATGCCTTTCAAACTGCAAAACTGGACAGGGCATCCCAAGTTGATGCAAACACAGCTTGGGCGATGATGCACCTGTCCAGAAGCGCTGGCAGCCTGAATGGCAACACTTGCAAGACTGCTGGATCCATCCCGACAGCTTCTTGCGCCTTTGCCGCTTGCAATTGTGCGAGCAACTGAGCGACGTCCACTCCGGACGCCACTGCCTCCTGTCTATCTTGCTTGAAGTCGCTATATCACTATGACTGAAGTCGCTATCACTGTGACTCTCTGAACGGAACACAAAATGTCCCAGGCCGTCCCTTGCAGGCTGCCAACTGCCAGCTTGCCTGAAGCTGTGAGGCCAAAGTGTCCATGCCAGCCTTTGGACTGGGAGTGTCGCTTGCCTCGTCAAGACTTGTCTTCAACCTTTCTGTGTAGACAAAACCAGCGAGTGACGAGCCTGATGTGCAGAGGGCACAGTCGGTGCACCTGCCTGTCATGTCCACGATATATCTTGACAAGCAATACTGATGAGTCACTTGTTGCTGCATCTGGCACCTGGCCGTTTCCATTCGGAGTGGCACCTGCCGCTTGCACGCCATTCGGATCTCATAACTTCAGTGCTTTCCCTCTGCGAGACACGAGCACAAGCGCATCACGCTGGCGCCATCAGCAAGTCTGGAATCGCCAGGATCCCGTTCAGGGGACTTCGTCATTATGCCTGAACCAAAATAACTTTGCGACACTCTTTGAAAGACTGAGAAGACGTCATCGGAACGCGGTGATCCCAGATAATCTAAGCCCCACATGGCCTGTGGCATCCTGGGTCCCAGTGACGGCACCGTCTGGGAGTGCAGATGGCTCTGCAGCAGCTGCTTTGGCGCCACCTGAGCCTGAAAGATGAAGATTCACGGATGCCGTCTGCACCTTACTGCACTCTATGACCCTATCTGCTTCCTGCAAGCCTGAGACCTGTCAAACCCCTTTGCGCGGACCTTTGGCGCGGTTGCTGCCTGCCGACCTCGTTCTGCTGTTGCTTCTCCTGCAACGCTTCTGGACTCTAGTCGTGATGAGACAAGACACCACATGGACACTACGGCATCTCGGCAATTCTTGGCATCTCGCTCTCTTCCTCTGCGGACTTCCGGAGCCCGCTCCGGCCTGGGCACAGCGCTGGAAGAGAGAAGAGCCGAGCCCGTGCTTCCCTTGGCTCCGATCCGAGGGCTGAGCTTCGCTTGACTCGACGAGCGACCCCTTTGGCCCTCCTCGGCCTCTCAACGAAAACGGCTTAAACAGGATCAGCGCGATGTTGCTCCACTGCACCCCGCCCCGAGTGCTGTGCCTCTTCGGCCTCCTTGCAACTCCGCGCTGGAAGACGGAATTCTGCCAACATCTCTCTAGTTCGCGTCCTCGACTTCCCACAATGGGCAGACCGGGCCATCGCCGAGGCAAGCCGCAAGCAGGTGCTGGCAACAAAACAAGCAGAACTTCTTCATCGACTCACGTCCACCAGAACCCTGCCGATGGCCTCGCAGGTCAAGTGAGTCGCAGCACAGCGCTGCAAATGCCTGACGAGTCCCAGCAGCTCAGGTTTCTAGCATGCTTAATGGCCTCAACAAGGGTTGCAGCTTCTTCGGCTGTGAACAGCACCGAAACAGGCCTCATCTGGAAGGCATGCGGTGGTGGCATGAGCCCCAGAATGCACCTCTGCTGCATCGTGTACTCCGAGAGAGGGGATGCGAGAGGACTGAATCCAAGCCTAGGCAAAAGCTCCTTGGCTTCATCTGAGTTTGATATTTCGTGCTTCTCCACCTCGCCGCAGCAAGTCGCATCTTTCTTCGTTGACAACACACATCTGGCACGGCGCCTCCGCTTCCAGCATCGGCACCGTTGCATCCAAGAGCATGGATATTGGATGCAGGTGCATCTGGCAGCGGCTGTGTTCTGCCCTAGCCTTGCTACAGCCTGGGGCATGACACGAGAACGAGACTTGCCTCAACACGCTGCTGCCATTGCTGTCTCTCCTTCTCGCCGTCCTGACAAAAATGTGTGTTCATGCAAACGTCTCACAGAAACAATCCGCGACTTGTCCTTGTCAAGATCAATGTGACATTGGACCTGTGGCACCTCAAAAAGACTCAGGCTCAACACCGTGAATCGTGTCCCCTATCTCCGCACGAGTTCCCGGCCAAAGACACGAGATCTCGGAAGATCGCCTCTCGGCTCGGAGCATCTGCGACCCACCACGGCAGATGCAACTTCGGTCACAAGCCTGTCTTGTCATCAAGCCATAGGCTAGGTTGGTGTTGCCACCATACCTGTACCTGGCTCCCCAAGTCTCATGGGATCACGAAGGGCTGAGGCTGTCCTATGAGAACTGCATGAGGCTCACTGGAGGGCATTATCGAAGGCCTACAACAGAGACGCTGCGAGGTGCCGCACATGGGCTGACGACACTCAGCGCCGCACTTCCAGCAGTATCGGCAAGTGGCTGGCAAAGCCAAGCCTCACCAGGCTCTGCGACTGTCGAGATTCCCGAGACTCTCGGGACGGTCCCCCCCCCCACCGCCTTTCTCGAGACAGCTGGAGCGATTTCACGCATCGCTCAAACAAGGAAAACCTGTGCGAAGCATGTCTAGTCGCTTAGGCTCGAGGCGACCCGTGCTTCCAAACTTCTAGGCGGGTAAGTCGTGGACAGGCGCGAGGTGACTTCCATGCACAGACCGTCCGCGAATGTTGACACATTGGCCAACGTGAACAAGCTCATCTGGCAGCATCGAGCACGCTTAATTCTTCCCCAACCAGCTTCTCCGGCTGTTACAACACGGCCTGCACGATGTTGTCATGAATTTTGCTCGCCTGAAGTTGACCAGGTTACATGAAAGGCGCTTTCGATGCTCCGACTGGCCTTGCACTTGCCTAGGTTCTCGTTGGCCTGAGCATGCGTTGACAAGACATGAAGTAAGCCGCTCGCTCTATGTCAATGGCCCGTGGCCTGAGCAAGCGCTGCCAAGGCCACAAAGTCGGCAGCAGTACCCTCGCGAGATTGGTGTTCTGCCCAGGAGCTCAACAAATGCGCCCGTGTGCCTCGAAATCAGGGATGCTCTCGGGTAAGCTGCCATCAAAGTCCTGAAGAAACGCCGTAACTTTGCATCCTGTACTTTCTGCATGGCAGCTAGTCACTCATGTCCCTCTCTCATGCATCCAAATGCTGTCCTCATCCAGCTCCACGCAAACTTCGCGGTACCTTCAGGCCCCCGCTTTGCGCTTCTAACGACATGATATCAAAAGACGGTTCACGAGGTCAGGTTGAGGAGAATCGCGGCCTGCAAGACTCATCGCGCTGCAGACTTGTCATGTATTCTCAGCTCTCCTATCGTGTCACCAAGGATTTTCACGCTATCTAAGAATAGCAACATGGAGCCAGTGTAGAGGGACGAACGGTCCGTTACAATTTCAATGCAAACAGCCAGGCTTGCCCACAAGCTTGTGCACAGACGAACAGCTGTTCATCCCGCGCACAGGCTCGGAGTGCCCTTTGCAAGAATCCCGTCGAAATTTTGGGGACATTTCGACATGGGATCTGTGCAACGTTGCATTCACCGCAAACTCTAAAGTCCAGAGAGCCTGCAAATGTTTCAGCAGGAACCACACCTTCGCCGGGTTCCCGAGCCGAGTGCAGCTGGCAAAGGCCGACGACCACTTCCCGCGTCACGAACACTACCACTGCCACAGCGACCACCATTGCCACCGCCTATTGCTGCTGAAGCCAGACCCTTCGCAGGGTTCTGAAACCACTCTCGCGAAAAAATATCAATTTCTGCGGCGAGAGTGAAAGCAGCCTGTCATCACAACATGGGTTTCGTCACGAGTTTGGCACGCCTTCGGTGTGTGTGCGCTGCTTCTGCCTCTGCGAGCGTTGATACCCTGGAACCTACAAGAAACTCTAAAACCCAAGAACCCCAAGGACCCTAAACTCAAGAACCAAATGCATCAGAAACCCTGACAACGTTTGGCAACTAGACGCGACAATATGGGCCCAAACAAACTCAGAGCCCCCGAACCCTAAGATCTGAAGACACCCTAAAAATCTTAAACCGCTGAAGCCTCAACTGGCATCTGACGCCCCCGAACCCTAAACCCTAAAAAATCCTCAACCCTAGGCTTCAAGGCTACAGTGACTACGACAGACCATAAAGGAACGCTTCTTTTCGTATGGCCCCGAAAAAACTCTCCAAGCCCCTTTATGTATCGTAGGCAGGCCTGACGGCCTAACTTGCTTGCCCGCTCTGCAACATTCTGCTACTTGCTACTGGATGCTTGCTGGATTACTACTGTTGCTACTGCAAACATGGCCAGTAGGAAGTCGTGGCAAGAACTTGCGACTGCGGGTGCTGGTCGCGCTTCTTCGGCCTCAATGAGGCTGAGGCCTGATTCGTCGACATGCTCGGGCGCCTTCACAGGGCAGGCGGAGCCAAAGGTGGCAGTGACCAAAACGACATGCAAAAAAAACAAGAAGAGCAATTCAAAAGACAGCGCGACAAGAAGACGATGAAGGGAGACACGAGGGATGACAAGTGGAGACGGAGAGAGACAAGGGACGCCATGCTGCCACTGGGGCGAATGTCAAAACAAGAGTTTCCAAAAGCAGTCGAGCATGCGACAAGTTGACAAGGGAGGCAAAACAGACGCAGTCCTACGACGTTCCGGGCTTGAGCTTCGCGCAAGATTGCTGCCGCGACAACAGTGGAGACACGACAAGGGAGACTAGGTCTGAAGGAAGATCAGCTTCCCACCTTCGAAATGTCAGAGCCAAGGAGGTTGTACAGGTAAACTACAGCCACTAGTCTAGTGTCACGGAAGAAAACTAGGGAAATCATGACGGCAGACAAGAAGCGAGACAAGTGACACAAACTGCAGGCTACGATTCTAGGGGTTTACGATTTTAGTTAGGCTTCAGGGTTTGTGCAGGGCCTTCGGATTAGGAGTTTAGGGCCAGGGTTTCATGCTCAGGCTCTGTTTCAGGAGCTTTGGGATGTGCACTGGCTTCTTCCAGTGTGGCGCGGCTCACCCTGACCTTGTCTGTACAATCTCGACAGGATTCTGAGAGAGGAGCCTTGGACGCGGGAGGAATCTATAAATCTACGGAGCCCCAACGGACCAGGCGTGGACGACCTCACATTAAATGAGTGCCAATCTAGAAAACTTAGGTATACGATAAAATGCGCCGGGCTGCTGCGACAGACGGCCAAGAAACGGCACGAGGCAACATCCGGAAGTTGCTGGGGGATACAACGCGGAAGGCGATGGCGCCGTCTGGGGGACGAGGGCAACAAGTCTGCAAAGAACACGTTGGATTAGGAGACAAGATGGACGACAAGGACAGCATGAAAAGATTCGAAGACGGAGACAGCGGATGCTATTGCATGCCACTGCCGTTCTGCAGTGTGAAATACAACTCGGTTCTGCAACAAGCCGTGTCCCAGCCTCCAAAAGCACTTCGGGTGACAACCAGGGTGAGACACGAGAGAAGGGCGATCTACACGCGGCAAGATCCGCTTGCCGGCTGCCAAAGGCAACTTGGCTAAGCCTGGCAAACAGAGGACGACAACAGGTGGACAAGACGGGACACAAGAATGCGAAGTAGGGAGGCAACAGAAGATCAAGCAGTCAACATCAGGCGCGAGATGCTAACTCTGCACTTTCAGAGGCTGTTGCCTCTGATGGAAGAGAAGACTGCACACAACAAGATAGGGGAGACAAGGGGATGGTGAATGAGACCAAACAGGAGGCAAGAAATGTGCTCGGAGAGATCTGAATTCTACTACTTGTAGAAAACACGCATGTGACACGATCTGTTCCACAACTTGGAAAGGCGACTAAGGAAAACAACAGACCAGACGAGAGGAAAACAGGAACATAAAAATGGAAGCTATCGAGGAGACAAAGAAGAAAGGGAATTTCGGAAGGAGATACTGAAACTGAAGGAAGGAGTTTGAAGGAAGACAGCATGCGGGACCTCACAAGGGAGACAAGCGGGAAGGCAGAGAGGCTACGAGGGAAGACCGGGACGGCAAGAAAGCAGACAATGATAAATTTTGTGCGAAGTATTGTGGGGGATAACACATGAAACATGAACGCTTTGCCGCAGACACACGGTATGTCGAATTAAGCAAGACGGCCATGTGGCAGACAAGAAGAGTAAGACGGGACACAGGGGAGGAGCTGAGGAGAAGTCAAACAGCGTGTGCGACTTTGCTCGGAGAGGTAGGACCTATCAGGCCGGAGAACCGAGACACAAGGCATGACAAAGAGAGGAGATAACAGAAGACAGGAGGGGAAGAGAGACAAGGCACGCGAGAGGCGAGACACGAAGAGCAAGAAGGGAAGCAAGGATGGAGACCAGGTGGAGAAATTGAAAATTATGTGGAGGCAATGTGCACACGTTTGCCCAGAGACCCGGGACCACGCCACTGTCTTTGATTATGTTGAACCTCGACAACCAATGTTTCGCTGGTTAGGGAGCATGTGCTGACGAACAACATTTAGCTCGTTCTGGAAGTAGGAATGACTCGTGGATGCCCTGACCGATTAACGACTTGCACTAACTTGATATGCATGTCTTAGTGAATGACGCCATAGGCAAGTGAAAGCGATAGTAGCAAGAAAGGAAGGGCCATCGAAAACGGATCATGAGTCCAAATCGTCACACGTGTTCGGAAAAGGTATGTAACCGGAAACCATATACAACGAGATTCATACACAATACAAAACGTATGTTGAAAGGTATGGTTCATGCACAACCAACCAACTACCACCAAGTCCATCTGAATTGTCAGTCATTGCAACGACCATCCGCATGAAGCGGCTAGTGATACGGTGTGTGTGCATGTGTGTAAACAGCAGAAGATCATGCTGACAGCAACCCACCAACAGCCTAGAGCAGGCGTGATTGGTAGCAGTTGCTAGAATGACGAAAAAGCAAAACGAGAATTAGAACAACACAATCGGCGCAGACGATGAGATATTTGCTTTCCGGGCCTGGTTGGCTGCCAACAGGACACCCTCGATGAGGCTGATGACCTCACCCTCTGCCTTGGCAAGCTGCATGTAAGCCAGTGTTCCGGCTGCTTGGGTTGGTGCATGTAGTCGCACGTGTGCGCATGCATACCTCATATTTACTCCTCAATCTCACAGGTGTTTCACCGCTCTGGATCAGAAGCCTCTGGACAGACTCAACACAATCGCAGCATTGATCCAGATAAAAACTGGGAAATCCTTGCAGGATCAGGATTTGAAAGCTGATCGCAACGGTACGATGCAGATGACATCACAATTTCACAGGATAGTTTCGCTGCGTGGTTCCCGCGGCACGCCGGCAATCACCGGCAGCCCTCAACTCCAACGCTGAACCCTAAACTAAATCAAAGAGTGGCTTGGGGACTGTGGTCTAAAACACCTTTGAAGTAGAAAACCTTGAACTACACTATATGAGAGGTCATTGTTTCACGGTCGTACGGTAACACAAGCCCACCCCCCTCCCCCCTCCCGCCCCGTGTTGAGAATAAATCCCTCCCCCCCTCCCCACGACTAGTCCCTACTACAACCGGAAGCCAGATACTACAACCAGAAGCCCTATACTGCAACTGGGCCTGGATTTGCGCAAAACCCGAAACCACCATACCACAACCAGCCAACAAGCTTACATGTTGCATTGTTTCCAATGTGATGGTCAACCTTTAAGGAAACACATTCATTTTTAGAAACAGTTCAGTTGCAGTAGGTACCTTTCTTCGCCCGGATGCTACGATCTACTAAATCTTGATAACGAACCGGATCCAGCAGAACCCCTTAACAACGAAATCATGTTCACACAACCTTATACTAAACAAAACAGAACGTTCCAGTTGTAGTAGGGACCTTTTTTGTGCATGTAGTTGCTCAGTTGTAGTAGGGTCCGGTTTCTGGTTGCATTATAGGGCTTCTGGTTGTGGTATCGGGGTTTCGGTTGTAGTAGGGACTGTTTCCCCCCCTTCATTTGGAGGGGGGGAGGGCGACCTATCACATTCCGGCTCTCGCCAACCCTGTAAACCTAAGTGCTTGAAAGGAAAAACAACGCTTCTCGACCGTAAGGTCTGTAAAGGTCTCTCAAGAGTTGCACGCTGCGGACTTTGCCCCCAAGTTGTCATTGCGGAGAAGATGTCTACTCGTGTTCCATGACTGTTTGACACAGCCAATGTGTTGATTTGTCGATGTTTCAAAAAACCTCGCCATACTATGTACAGTCTCCAGTACAGACAGTCCACGTAGGAGGGAAGAAAAAACCTCCTGGCCCCATCCCGGCAGTCTAAGGGCGGTGCACACGCACCTGCCACGAACTTTGGGCAGGCTGTGAGGTGAAAGACCTGACTCGCATCCGGCCACCAGGGAGCACCAAACCACGGAGCAAGTGGTGCCAAGCGGCGAGAACGAGGAGTTCAGGCAAGAAAGGTGGCAACCTTAGCTAACCACACGAACACAAACAGAAACGTGCACTCACGCATACACACACACACACACATGGCAGGGCGGATTAACACTTGGGGCGTCAGAGCTTAACACTGCACATGGTCGCACCTCATCGAGCTCGGCAGATAGCTGCCCTTCTCCTGAATGAGCAGAGTAGCGGATGCCGTGCCCAGGCTGTTGGATCAAAGGCCTTGCTCACAGTGCCCAGCAAGGTGACGATGCCTTCTACCATGAACTCCACCTGGAGACACCCCAGGCAGACGCGGAAAGACCCCGGGCTGCCCGGGGCCCGGCCTCGGCCTGAGAACTGCGTGCCGCGAGCATGTCGCGAAAGACGTTTTGCACACTTGCACCTCAGGCAGAACGTAAACACCTGCGGCGGGAGTGCTCTGCTTTGCCTTCCTCCCCCGACCTTCTTCCTCCGGGATCGACTTCCGAGATATTAGAAGCTCCTCGTTCAAATCTCAACACAAAAGTGGTTCCTCTGGTGCTCAGACCCGGTCCTGTGGGCGCTTGGTGGCCACACTTGGCAAGATGCTCATGTCACCTGCAACCACACCCGAAGGCGGCTCGAGAGCCAGAAGGCGACAAAAAAGAGACCTGCCTTGGCCAAGGGCAGCATCGCGCACGTCTTGCAACAGCAGCCCAAGAGCCTCCACAGCAACTCAACTCCAACTATCGCAGGCTGCCTGCAGGCTGCCAGCCTGAATGCAGAGGTGCGCAAAAGCTTCTTGCTTAGCCCCTGCAAAGTAGCCCCCGTAAGGCAGTCCAAAGCCGTGCGGGTCGTAGCCTCAGAGGGCATGTCGCCGCACCATGCGCGCCACACCACTTGCAGGCAACTGAACACGAACAAAAGCTGCAAAAGCTCCTTCGCCATCCTAGAGTGTGCTGAGCAAAGCACCCATAGCCACAGACAGCAATGAGTAAAAAAGTTCTGCTCGAAAGGGTACTGTCCTGAACAGCAGGTGTTTGCGTGTCCATCCTTTTGACTTGGTGAAAACAAGCTCCTGGAGGGGTCACTGAGGTAAGCAAGTGGACGTGCATCGGGAATCAGAAGCCTTCATTTGGTGCTTGTCAGAGAACACAAAGAGATCACTTTATCAAGTCTGCGGCCTGGAAAGGCGTGCATCAACCGATGCATCATCACTGCCTTCCTGTCCAACGCGTGCACAGGCACCTATCACCTATCAGAGGGAAGCGTCAAAAGCTTGTGAAGCCTGGCTGACGATGGCAGACGGAGCTCCAGCTGCTAGGAGGGCTAGCAGAAGTTGTAGGCCCACGACCCTGACACGCCGATGCTCAGTACAACTCAGCATCTCTCAGCGAGAAGACTGCGGGCGTAAATTTCCCAGCCTGTTTGCCTGCATATCGCCATTCTTTGGCTGGCTCGAGCCTTCGGGTCCTACTCCTTCTTGCCTCAGGCAGCCATGGAGCTTTCCATCGGCTTCCGTCAGCGAACATGCGAGCGTACCAGATCAAAGCCGGCATCACGCCATCGACCTCTTGGACCTCGTCATCCTGCTCAGTGTCTTCTAAATGGATTGTGACTGCGACCTCTGCAGACGCCCCTCCTCAGTCGCATCTGGCTCTTCGACCGTGAAGCCGTCATGAAACCTGTCTTCAGCAGGGCACACGGCGAGTTCAAGATGGTATCAAGTGCAACCAGGCCGAACGCACAGCGCCCGCAGCGTGGAGTCTGCGATGCGTTCTCCCAGGGGCTTGGTCTCAGCTCCAGAGACCTTCAAACTCAATCAAGGCAGGACCGGTCGGCGGTCAGCAAGAGAAAGCACCGTCCACAACTTCTCCATGAAGGCGGCACCGGCTGCTTCCCGAACAGCCTTGAAAAAGGCACAGCAGGGTTCTTAAGACAAAAAAAGATCCCCTTCTCCCTCCGTCGAAGGCAGCAGACCTCGGCCTCCGTTGTGCCAGCGCCTCCTCGCTTGTTGTCGCTCCGTGCTTCGAACGCTGCACCCGCACACTGACCGAAAAGCAGTGCACAGTGCCTGCAGCCGCTGGTAGCGCAGCTAGCAGGTATGACATGACCTGACGCTTCAGCTCGAAGCTTGATTCTTCTCGATCCCCCAGAATGACAGACAACGGGATCGGTACAAAAAGTGCATTAGCAAGGACCGTCTCGGCCGCTTCATCCAGGTCGTCAGCCTCAAGCCAGTGCAAGAACACAGACCCTCAAAGCAGTTGACGGACCACTTACAAGTCGAGAGCACACCATCGTGCCTTCTTGGCCAATTCAGTCTCGACCGTCTCAAGGCAGCGTACGATCAAAGCATGAAAATTGTCCGGACCTTGCGCGGCTTGGTGTCAAAAAGCCGGCTGGGCAGTTAAAGACTAGCAACCAAAAGACTCTCGGGTCGCAGCACCGGGCTAAACTAACCACCAGTGATTCTCTCCTGACAAGACTGGGGCTTCGGATCGCCCGGAAATACGTTTCGATACCAGCCTGGGATGGTTTTCCAACTCTTCCTGGCCAGATGTGGAAGAAGAAAAGAGAAGGCAACGAGGCAAGGCTCCGCCGCTCAGCCAGCAGAAGTTGGCCTCCAAATTGTTTAGATTTAGCAATCGTTCCCACACTTCTGGGGAAACTCCAGGACCTCGGAACCGTAGCAAACTGGTACGTGTACTATTCAGAAAGCAATGCTTCGCCCAGCCTAGAAGTTCGGAGGATAACTCCTTCTGCGGCAAATTCAGCCCCGAATGAGGCACACAGCGCAGGCCTCGCTATGCCGTCATGCAGTCCTCCAGAACATCACCGGCAGAAGCTTTGCCGCCGATGAATCCCAGAATTCGCCTGCCCGAACATGTGTATATGTAACATATGTATACAGTTACGTAAACATTCCAAAAGACAGGAAAAGCCTCATGGTCACGCTCTCCGCAGTGTGGCTCCGGCGAAGCCCATATACACACAACACATTGGGAAGCTTAAACCAGGACTATCAGCCGCTGCACCATGGTTGCACTGAAATGTTATTGCTACGAAATGGCTTCACAGGACTGCAACGGCCAACATCACCATCTGTTGCCTCCATCCTACTAGTTTCCATGGCGCCTTGACCGGAGGTAGCGGCCATGGAAATTCTGAAACACGTCAAGGAAATGCTGGGACAACTCGTGTGCCGCGACGCAAGGGCACTGTAGGCAGGCTCTAAGCAGACAATGGACAGGGCACCACGCCACAAAACACAGGCCCTTTTTCTGCAATGCTGCAATGCATCCAACTTAGCTTTGAGGCGCTTTCAAGTCCATCTGCTGCTTGAACTGACTATCTTCTTCCGAAAACCTAAAAGGTGCCAATTCCGCACGATCTAGCAATCAAGCCTCCCAGCTTTGGTCACCCCAACAACTTGTTGGACTACTGTCCACACATCGGAATGCATGCGAAACGTGTCAATTCACAAGCGACACAAAAAGCAATGGTAATGTCACCACAGAGCATTGACATTTTCGAATGGGTACCCCCCTATATGGGGTCCCCTGGGTTTTTGCACACCTCTCTCTCCCAAGCATTCGAAAGTGCAAAAACCTAAACCATTAAACCATTCAACCAATCCTTTCCCCCAATGGACCCAAACCAATAAACCATTAAACCATTAAACCAATCCTTTCCCCCAATGGACCCAAACCAATAAGCCATTAAACCATTAAACCAATCCTTTCCCCCAATGGACCCAAACCAATAAACCATTAAACCATTAAACCAATCCTTTCCCCCAATGGACCCAAACCAATAAACCATTAAACCATTAAACCAATCCTTTTGGCCCATACCACTAAACCATTAAACCATTAAACCATCAAACCATTAAACCAGTCATTTGCCCCTATAGAGAGAGACACAACCCTGTATGGGCCGAAAGCATTGGTTTAATGGTTTAATGTCAGATATCCGCATGAAAATGGCACACCAAAAGCACCATGCGAGCAGGCCCTCTTTTGCATGGTGGATTGGTGTGGCTGCCGACTCCCGGGATATTCCTTCGGTCGAAGACCTCAGCCTTTTGAAGAGGCCGTTTCAGGCAAAGGAGGGTCCCCTCCTTCAGGGCGTACGGCACCTGGGATCGGGAACCCTCCTTGTACAGAAAAGAGAGTTCCAAAATTTTGTGCCGTCCAGAAAGAAGCCTGTACAGGAGGCAGCCACATCCTCACCGGGCACCCTGCGCGGGTCCATGGGTGAGGTCAGATGGGTCGTCGAAAATACGATCTTCCAAAATAGAACGAATGAGGGAAAAATGCTTGAGCACGGGTTCCACCGGCAAGCAGAGAGATGGAGTGAAACCTTGAAAGTTGGGATGAGTCAGATCATCAGCCCACGTGTTGAGGTCACGCTTGACGTGGGAGGGAGCCAGCTGCATACCGTTCCGGTGCAGTTGGTACAAAACCTCCATGAGGATGACAGATGTTGGCATCCTCTTGGACTTATCGTTCAGGAGCGAGTACACATTCCCTTGGTTGTCGCTGACCAGGGGAAGCCTGAGGTTCGGGATGAACGCAGGCGCCTTTTCCATGAGAAAGTGAGAGAGGATCAGAGTGCCGAACATCTCAAGGGCAGCAATGCGCTTTTTCGGGCAGCCCTTGTCAAAAGCCCATGGATGTCGCTCTTCGGTGACCTGGTAGTGGAACCAGAAGACTTCCGACTTGGACGGGGAGTCCACGTTGGACAGCCAGCCGCCCACATTGGCGCTGCCATCATCAGAAGCGCTAGCATCACTTGCCCCGGACCAAATGGCGAGCGGGGCATACGGCGACGCTTGTCGGAACTTCTGATCAAAAAGAGAGAGCAGGAGAGCCGAGAGTGCACGGATAAGCTTGCCAGGACGTCCTGCAGTCTGGCAGGCCTTCTTCCAAGCCCAAAAGGGTTGGAGGAAAGGCTTAGTAAGGGGGCAGGCCGTTGTCGCCCACTGCAGCCTACCCAACGCACTAGCGATCAGAGATGCCGACATGACCTTACCGCTTTTGAGCTCTCCAAGGATGCCAATGACAAGCAGGTGCTTGTCTCGGGCCATCTGCACACAGGGTCCTTTAGGGTCAATGACAAAGCCAAGCCAAGTATTAACCTCAGCGAGCAAGGTTTTCCTCCAGCTCAGAGGAGTGCCGAGAGCAAGCAGCAGCAGGCAAATTGCCGTCGCCAACAGGGGGGAGTTCGATTTACGGAGCAGCCAGGCAAAATCGTCGACAAAAACGAAACCCCAGTCGACCTCAGGAAACACAGCATACACAATCCTTAGGAGGATAGCAGCCATCCTTCCCCAATAAAGCTGGGCACTGGCCATCCCATATGTGCCTATGGTGTTGGCCCACCATTCCTCACCAAGTTGAGCCACTTGGTAACGCCACTCTCGAAGGAGGATCTTGATTCTCCTGTGCGCCTTAGTCACGTCAGCTTTGAGTAGAATCCAATCATCATCGGAGCCAGGAAAACACCAGGGTCGGCCGGAGCCAGCGCTGGAGTCTTCCCTATCAGAGGGTCTGTCCCGTTCCAAGTTTGCCGCACCAGGGGCGGTTTCACGGGGCCCAGACGTATCCGTGGCCTCCTGTTTCCCGGGCTCAGGGCCATAGGCGCCTGGATTCCCCCGAGAGCGTGATGCCCGAAGCCAGTGTAAGCACTGGACACAGTCCATGACAGTCGGAGCCGTGGTTTTCTCCACTGTGTTCTGTTGGATACGGAGATTAGCACCGCCCTTGGATCCATCAAAGATGGAACGGATCTTGTCCGCCTCATCAATCCCCGCCATGGGGCAGGGGCAGAGCTCTTCCTCCGTGCACTGGCAGCGCGCTGCTGCTTCGGCGCGTGCGCATGGTCCGATGACCATACCTAGTGGAGTTTCTTCCACGAAGGTAGCACGAATCTCCTCACTAAAG